ATCAGTAGCAGATCATAATCATATTATTTTCAACAATAGTTTATTGTTTATTGTTCATTTACGATATTCATACAAATCGCACCTATACGAAAAAAAATAAACACAATGTTGTTGTATTTTCACTCCACCACTGTTATTTTAATTTCAGAAGGTTAGAGATTATAGTCTCTATTGTTGTTATATATCCTTTGCTGAATGTAAAATTAAGTGTTTCAATGCTGAAATGAATCGAATCAAACCTGGCAGTATCCAAAAGTTAACACAAATAAGGATTTTAAGATAGACATTGACTTGTAACAAAGCACATAATTGCAGTGAGTAAAGAGTTATCACTATTGGATGATCTTTATATAATAGGAGTTGGTTTATAACATTTTTTTATTGTTGCACCACATTTTAAGTTTAAAAGATTAGAGGTTATAGTGTTTTGATATTGCAAGCATATTTGGTTTATAAGAAAATTTGGAAGAAGAACTCATGATCTGTTAGCAACTGAATCTTGGAAATAAAATTGAGAGTAACTGAAAATTTATTAAGCATATACTTTGTTAACATATTTTCTAGACAATTCTGTATAAGCCTAGTTGCAATTGAAAGTAAATGGCTTTTCATTTAACATATAAATTTGGAATAGTTTTTATATTTGTTTAAGGAATTTTTGCAGAAAGTGGTTTTAAGTTTACAGATTCCTGATTTAAATATAAAATAAATTTATTTGGATTTTTCCAACACACATTTTAATAAACTGTCAAGCAATACCATTGGTCATTTGAGTTGAATTTTTGTTTTAGAATTATTGAATAAAAATAGCAAGAGAGCGTTCCTCTGCTTGTCAGTGCAAGCTTAATGAAATCAAATTGAAGCATTATATTAAGTGTAAGCGTTTATCTTTGGTGTGTTTGTTTACTATCTTTTTGGTTGAGTAAATTTTCGAAATCAAGTCTGAGATTTACAAATGTAACTTTTTGACTTAACAAAAATTTTCGAAAACTGGACCTTTCCTCAAACCACACCTCTCCCCCCTCACCCCAAAAAAGAAAATGCTCTTCAAAAAAGCTGTTCAATTTATTAACTTAAGTCGGAAAAAAAATTTCTCAATAAGTTATTGTCACATTCATCGTTTCTAAGCCACCATAAAAGTCAATAATTTACATTTGCTAAGGTAAATAATTAATGGAAATATCTCGTTAGATTTAATTAATTCGTCGTGATTTAAGATATATATTACCGAGATTATGTTTTAGTAAATTGGAATGAAATATTGCTAAAATTCATGTAATGTATTAGTATTTCACTTTATAAAATAGCAGTTATAAGCGAAGTATTTTCTTTTTTCATACGTATCGAATTAATTTTATGATTAGAAATATCATTATATCATACCAGTTGATGATTACAGTATATTAATTATTAATTTGACACTATAATAATATTTGTCCGCTGCTAAAATAAATATATATAATGATATATCATCTTATATATAAGTGTGTGTATGTGTGTGTTAAAAAGCATATATAAGTGTTATAAAGCTAAAAAATGGTAGAAATTATTTAAATATACAAAAAATATACAGAATTTATTAATTCCGATTACTTTTCATTTGCAAGCAATATTGGCTAATTTATGAAAACAGATGAAAAAATAAATGATTTTTATCTTCCGAGTTTCAGACTACAAATTTGACATAATTTCAGTTGCACCTTAAACGCAATTAAAGTAAATTGCCGCATTGCAAAATAAATAAAAATTCAATCAATAAACAAATAGAAAAAAAAATATATGAATAAATGTAAATGAAAATAAACGGATAGCATAAATTGAAAAATGATAAACTGTTAACAATGTTTCTTCTTTTTCTTTAATTTATTTTCACTTTGTTCTAAATATGCTTCAAAGACAAAGAGGGAGAGGGAGAGAGAGAAAGGACAAAAACATAAGATGGATGAAGACATTTAGCAAGAACAGAAGCACTTGGACCAATTCGTTCACTTCTTTTCTCTCTCTCGTCGTTTCGTTTTTTTTCTTGTTTTAATCATTTTTATTCAAATTATGTTTAATTTATCGAAAATAAGTGAGTGGATGAGTGAATGAATGAAAAAATAAATAAAAAGGAATTAATTAACTAAACAAATAAATCAACTAATTAAGTAAATAAGTAAATAAATAAGCAAAAACAAACAATTAAATAGTTAATTAATTAAATAAATAATTTTTAGCTTATATCGTTTTCATATTATTTCATTTAATTTAATTCTCTTTGTTAGCTTCATCTGATTGTTTTAATTTTGCTCCTGCTTCTTTCAGTATGATTGATTTTTTTTCCAATTTTTTTCTCTTAAATCTTAATTCAATTGCATTTGATTGAAATACATGAAATTCAAACTGCAATTTTAATTCCCCTTCAATTGCATTTCAAAGAATCCAAAACGAACCGCTGCATTTCCAAACAAATTAATCAATTTCAATCGTCGAAAGACTCTTTTTATTTAATATTTTTATGTCTGAAATATGTTCATTTTATTTTCATTTCATCTTCTGCAAATTAAATACATTATTCATTCAACTTACTTGAATTTCACTACAATTCAAGTCATTCTATCCTAACTTCCTTCACTCCCATACTAAAACTTTTATTGTTGCAGGAGACCAATTACCACTTGTAAAATTTATTATAATTCCATTTCGGTATCACTTCATGTCATTTATATGATCTTCATTGGAGTATATTTGTTCAGCTCTTATTTTTGCAAATAGCACCTGCTATTTTTAATTGATAGACCTGTTATAGAAATATATGACATTGAGTGTGTTTTTCTTTAGCATCTTGTGCTACTAAGTTTAATTCTATTCATTCTTGACTAATCCATGCCATTTTATTTATGCATTTTATATCTTTTCAAAACTTATCTACCATCCATAATCTATCGATATAATTAATAGCAACAAAAAATAAAATTAAAAGAATAAAAAAAGGCAACAAAACGAATAAAACCACAAAAACTAAACAACAAAACTTCCAAAAAAAGGAAAGTTAAAACGTGAAGGGACACTTAAAAAAATTGTGAATATTTTTGATCTATAAAAAAAAAAAAAAAAAAAACAGAACTAACAGTAGGCTGCTCTGTGTTTTCTTTTGTTTCCAATTTTCTATGTTACGATAATTTCATTTTAAATTTTGAACTATTTATAAAATTTTATTTTAGATGGTAAACTTTACTATCATAGCAAGAATCTTACTCAACTAGTTTTTTCTTTTGTTCCTTTTTTTTTTTCTAAATTGTTTTTTCTTTCTTTTCTAAATTTATTATTAATGTCCAACACATATGATTAACCACGTATAACTATAGTGATCTATAGTTATACGATATATACTAATAACTATAACGGTACTACTGGAAAAAAAAACGAGACATTCACCCCTTTACAAATATTTGTACTTATATTTCTTGTGCATTTATAAATATATGATTATTTTCTGTGTAAAATGTAGCAAATATTTAAATAAAAAATGATTAGAAAAATTTGCATACGAGAAATGCATTTTGCAAACATCAAACGTTGATTGTGAAATTTTATAAAAAAGTGAAAAATGATTAAATGATACCATTTGTCGAGAAGCCATTTAAACAAATGAGGAATTCATATAATAATTGTGTAAATAGCTCAAAGAACAAGATTTATCCTTTTTAAATGTAATTTATGAAAAGAAATACAAATAATTATGAAAGCAAAGATTATTCATTCAGTAACATATGTATTTGAAATTTCTCATAAAGAAAAATATTGTAAAAAATAGTTCATCATATTTCTTCAATTCCTTACACAATTATTTTGAATCATATTTTACTAGAAATCATTTCATTTTTCATTGATTTTTTTTTTTTTTTATTTATGGAATTATGTTTTTAAACTTGAAGAATTTCAGTTATAAAAATTAGACTTAGAAATTAAAACTAAAATTCAAATTTTAAGTTGTGTAAAGAAGAAATCGATAATTTTTTTTTCATATAAGTCCATGTCTAAAATTTTCTTTGAATTCTCCACTTTTTTGATTTCTAATTAATTTTTCAATTTCAGACTAATCCGCCTAATTCATTCCGTATTTTTAACCGACATGAATATTCGATAATTTATTTAATCGTTTTTTTCGTGGACGAACAAAACTTAATGGAGAAAAAAACTTAGAAAAATTCCCTAAGTTTCCTGAAAAAAATCCGTTTAAATTTAATAATTACCAAAACCAAATTGATTTTCAATTAACTAACCCTAAAAAAGTTTCATTCAAATTGAAACTATTTTCTCAAATCTGATAAAAAAAGTAACCGACATTCACACTACATTTTTGCTTTATTTTCCCCCTTAATTTTATATGCTCCATGAACTACAACCCTCAACTCTCAATCCAAACACTCTCCCATCCCACTTCCCAAAAACTAAAAGGTTGTAAAATTCGTGCATACGAAGATGTAGAAGAGAAGGATTTATTATTTTCATTCAAACTTTCTGTCACACTGAAAGGGTTATTTTGCGCGTATTACAAGGAAAAAAAGAGAAAAAAGGGGGAAGAGTTGCCTTTCAATATTTTGTCGGAATGATCAAAGGATTTCCATTAATGAGGTGGCATTAGTCCTAAGAAAATTCCGCGATCATCGTACAACAGTAGTTGCAGTCATACAACACATACTGCGTCATCAAAGTACATGCTTATGTCAAAGGGTAATATATATATATATATATACAAGCAGCAATTTTAGTCTTTAAAAGCTTGTCTTATCAATTCTTAAATTTATTTTATCAATTCTACTTATTCCGTATACATTGTGATTCGATTAATTTCAATTTTGAAGCATTTATGAATTTTAATTTGTTTTCAATTTGTTTTAGCTAGCTGATGATTAATTCGCAATTGATTTGACATTTGTTGTAATTTGTTCGCTCATTTAGATTGATTAATTCAGATATTATCAGCAGTTTGCATATTTCGGAACAAAAAATTTCAAATGGTTGAACAGAATCCAGTTTATGGCAAACGTCGCATTTATAAAATTGTCCTGACAGGCGGTCCATGCGGTGGAAAAACTACGGGACAAGTGAGAAATTTAATTTCTTCTTTACAACTATTTTTATGGCTTAAAAGATATAAGATTATTTGATTATTTGGAAATGAAAGGGAACAATTTGTTATATATGTAATTTATTTTTGCTTCCTATTTGTTTCTTTGAACTTGAAACTTTATAAGTGGAACTTTTTTATTCTATTCTTTCCATTACTAATGCAATTACTTGAAAATTGTTTCTTAACTGTTATTTTGCTATTCTTTTTTAGGAACGTCTTCGAACATTTTTCGAGGAAATTGGATGGAAGGTATATACTGTACCAGAAACAGCTAATATACTGCTTGGTGGTGGTGTGAAATTTGCCGAGTTATCAAAGGAACAGTGCTACAGATTCCAGAAAGATATGTTACTAGCTTTGCTGAGAATTGAAGCGGTAATAACAATCTATGTTTCTTTGTCACTAGAATATTTTTATTTTCACTTTTCCTTTTTTTCTACTAGGTAATGTTATATAAATCGCTATATAAAAGAACTAGGTTTAACATAATGGTTGAATATAAAAAAAACCAACCTAGCATATTGTTATGAGGCAAAAAGTTTCACGATGCATTAAAACATATATGTGCTACGTTTATTAAAAAGGATAATGTCACATGTCAGGTTTTAAGTAGGGTTATTTTTCATTCATTAAATAGACTGAGAGTGTCATTGATCGATATGCATAATTGATCTTTACGATCTTCACGAAAAATTCGATACACAAAAAATTAGCATCTTGATATATTGATTAAATATACAAAATTTTGTTTCTAAGTAGTTTCTTTAGTGTTGCTTGAAAAAAATTGGCAGGTTTTCTTTAATCAAGCCGATGTATCAAATGCTGAACGTATTTTAATCATATGTGATCGTGGGGCTATGGATCCGGCAGCGTATATCGACAAGAAATCTTGGAATGAAATGCTAAAGGAAACAAATTTGGATCAGTTCAGCCTACGAGAAGAGAGGTATGACCAAGTAAGTTCTCGAAATGTTATTTTGAACGTTTGAATTATAATTTCAAGGCAATCTAAGTCTTCATTCTTAGTTATTTGTTCCTATTAACTACGTTAGTGTTATAAAATATTGTATTGTAACATTTTTTCTTGTAATAAAATCTGTGCTATAATCCTTGCAAGCCAATTTATTTATAACGAGGAAAATAGATTTTGCTTATGGGTGCCCAAGACATAGTAGCGTTTCGAATGTTACTTTGAGGCCAATTTCTGCAATTTAAATTTTTAAATATCAGCGGACGTCCAAGACTGTCTTCTGAAGTGTTTCATTTCGACAATTCAACCATTGGTTCAAGTACTGGTGCATGGTTATTGTCAAGCTAACTACTTTTTTTGATTTTAATAAATGAAAATATTTGTTTGTAGATTCTACATATGACGACAGCAGCAGATGGTGCTGAAGAGTACTATACTTTGGCAAACAGTAATGTAAGAACAGAAACTATCCAAGAAGCTATAGAACATGACCGACGTACCCGAGATGTAACAAACTTTTTTTTTGGTTGAATCTTGATATGTTTTTTTCCAGTTCATGCAAGCCTTTGGAAAATTTCTATAACCATTAAAATAATTACTCGAACTTTTCACATATTTCTTTTGTTTATTTGGATCATTATTTAATTTGTGTTTTACTTTTCTATCCTTGAGCATGAAGTCCTTCATAAATTTCCGTCTCTTGATTCCCTTTTGTTCATTTCAATTTTATTTTCCACTGTAAGAGAATAAGGGTAGTTGTGAAATTGTATGGCATTTCAACAACTTCAATTGTATGTTTTCATACAAAATGTAGAGAATATTTTGAAAATGAGAGTGGAATCATTTTAGCATTTTCATGTTGTGATTAAAGCAGTAATTTTAGTAATTAAACCACCAGTCATCAAAATTTATAAATTAATAGTATAATTGAAGTTGTGAGCTATAGTTATTTTAATGATCATTTTTATATAGGCTTGGCTTGGACATCCGCGCGTTGATGTAATCGAGAATGTCGGGTGCAAATCATTTGATGACAAATTGCTGAAACTAATTGCTGCCTTGTGTAGTCGAATGGGTCTTCCTACTGAAGATCGATTAGCCTTCAATAGCAGGTATTTTTTCATTTCTCGTTTCAGATTAAAAATTTATGATGTGATGATTGTAATTTGAGATGGTGGTTAGATTGAACAGATTAATACCATGGCCCCATTTTGGGAACTGAAATTATGTATAGATAATATAACTTCGTCATTTATTATGTATCGAAAATTTGATGATCTGCAACATCTAATGCAAGCAAATTTTCCTAGCAGGAAAAGAAAATGGCTTGTTGCATCGTTTGATAAGAAGCGTTTACCACGTTGTGAAGTGTTCATTGTAAGACATAATTATTTGTGTACCGACGACCAAAATGTTCAAGTGAAAATTTTTTTTTTTTTTCATAAGTTAATCCCAAATAATTGAACTATTTGTTCATATTTAGAGTTATTAAGCAGCGAAAGGGAATGTACGAGTTTCCTTGATTTTTGGTCTTTACCTTCCCTTAGTTTTTTTGAAAATTCGGATAAGACGTTCTTTATTTTAATCTTTGGCTTTATTTTGACAAGCTGGACATTTACTTTCTTATGGTAAATGAAAATATGAAAGTTGTTAATGACAAGCCATTTTAAGGTTCGGTTACGTTCACGAAGTCAGCATGGTCGGACAACATATGCTATAACAACCCGGCATTATGAAGGTCCAGAACCAGTGGAAACTCGTATGCAGTTGAATTATCGAGAATATATGAATTATATTAAGATGGAAGATCGTTCGAGAGTACCAATCAATAAGGAACGGAGATGCTTCATGTATGGCAAGCAGGCATGTTTAAATTTTATGTTTTATTTTAATTTTGCAATTTCTTTTTCAAATTAAACGCAATATGGTCTTGAGTAAAGACTGTTCCTGTACAACATTGAATATTTAAGATCAAAAGAGAAGCACTACTAATTAAATTAAGTAATTTTAATCATACACCTCTGCTGAAAAGTTTATTTTATTGGAAATGAGATCTTTGCTGAATGTAGATATTGCTCACTGTACTTCTTCTAGATGGATGTTAAGTAAAGGCAATTGTTATTTGAAGTATGTATTCTTTAAAAAACTCATTCACTTTATTTAAAGAACTGTACCGATCTAATTTTATGTAATTTATAGTACTATCATTTGGATACGTATACTTCACCATTACCACCATCATGTGAAGGGAAGCCGTTAATGTTACTAGAAACATATACGACGGCCCCGGTCGGTGATACCAGTGAACCACTGTTACCTGACTTTATGAATATTTTAAAAGAAGTGACAGGTGATTCGGCGTACAGTATGTATACAATTGCCAATCTAAAAGTAGTCAAGAGAAGCTAACGTTTTATTTTGTAATTTCGAGAATTATTTTGCGTTGCTCTCAACAAGTTATTTTTTTTTTTTTTTTGGTCAAAAATTAAATTAGATATTAATTATGGCAATGATAACCTGAATTATGCAGCCTGAGTTCTACTAAGTCAAGTGTATTTTTTGATCTACTTACTCATGAGCCATGCATCAGAAAGCATGGGTGGCGACAGCTATTTATTGTCATTTATCTCTCCTGTTTTTCTCATAAATTTTTCTCTTTGGGAGTTGATGTGTTTTAAATTATTGAGATTGAAAAGTTCTGTAATATTTCTTAAACTATATATCTTTGAGTATCCGCTCTACTTTCCATCGTCTTTATTTTACTGGCAGTACTATTCTTTAAGAAGTTCATTCACTTGATTTAAAGAACGGTACTATCAAATTTTTTTCAATAAGAGATATATTGCCAATATGTTCCTTACTACATTTTCAACATTTATGTTATTGATTTTCTTATATTTGTTAAATTCAGAACTCAACCTTTGTTAACAACTATCATAAAACAACGACTATCGTTCAGGTGGAGATTATTTCGGTGTTTTTTTTACTTGATTTCTGTTTCAAATCAATTATTTTTCAACAATTGTGATATCTTCACCCAGTATGAAGCGGATAATTTGATTCCAATATTTTTTTTTATCTTTTATATTAAAAATTGTCGAAATTCTTTAAAGTAGAAAATAATATTTACATAAAAACAATTCTTGTTTTTTCGTGATTTCTGGAAGATCCCTTTCGTCAAGAATTTGCTCGCCAATCATCAGATTAATTTAATTATGAACTGAAATTTTCTGCCTTAATTGTTTTGATTCGACCAATTAATACTTCTTTTAATAGATTTGAAAGATTTCGAAATGCAAAATTACGTTATGCTAATAAAATATTGTTGAACCAAAGTATGCAATACTTTGATATATTGCCAGCCTTATCATCTGTTACACACAACTGTTACATTTTTTTCGTCATTTATAATACCTAAATAATAATAATTAGTACTTAGATTTAAATAATACCTTGGATTTAATCATTATCAGGAGACTTTTACTGTTTCATAAATGGTAGTAATTTATGGTTAGAAAATTTGGTCAGGATTTACCCTATTATTATCATTATTTTACTTAATTATTCCCATCTAATTTTTCAATTGTTTTGAAAAATGCGAGCCATATTTCTTCCTGGAATAGCAATATATGATTTATAATTTAATTATACGGAAACAAAAAAGAAGCAAGGGAAACTTCCTCCTAAAGATAAAGGAATCGAAAATTTTTGATACAATGTATCTTGGATTACATAAGAAACGGATTCTTATAACAAAGAAATCAAATAATTGGAACAATCGAAATTAGGCTAAAACAAATTTAAATATCTCGAAACATTACAATTCCCTGACATAATTTCCCGGAAAGAGGCCCGTCCGATTCTTCATTCTGCCCTGCCACCAACCAGAGAAATCTGAAAATTCAATCATAACAATAGGTTAAGTACCAGAGCGAAGAACAATTGCAGCAATAGTAAATTAAACTAAAGAATTTTAAAATGAATTTCATCGGATTGCCGATATATTAAAATCTGATCAAAAGTCTGGGCAAAAAAACAAACGTTAGATCAAGAAATTTTTAATTTAAAAATCTGAAAAAATCCCACTAAAAAGACTGGAAAATTCTCAGGTCATATTGTTATTTAAGATAATATCTAGTATTTAATTATCAACCCTAATTCTTCATATTTTGATATATCTTTATTGCTCTTATGATAAAAAGCATACAACTGCATCCAACACAATAACTAACCAATAATTCTAATGAATTTTATTCAATAAATCAAATTCCATATTCTTATCAGTTGAAACATATCATTTTTACATATAAATATATTTATTATAATACAAACTACCAATTTGTTACTTATTAATTAATTATGGATTCAAATTAGTTAATTTTAATAACAGAAACTAACCTTTATTCACAAGTTCAAATTTATCGCCAGCAAGGAATGATAATTCATCAGTATCTTGAGCTTCATACGAATATAATGCTTCAACAACAGGAAGGAATCTTGGTTTTAATGGTGGCTTAGGTTTTTCCGGATATCGACATATTGCATTCTGTAAAATATTCTTTTTAAATATACACCAATACTATTTTATGATTGTTATCCCTTTCATTATTGCAAAAATTTACAAATAATTAAGAGAATATAAAATTAACCTGTAAATGAGTAGTGGTACCATTATTTCTATTAATATCTGTGTGATTATTATTTATCAATGGATATACACGATTAGACGTAGTTACGTGTTGTGTTGATAAAGAAGATGTTCGATGTGTTAGAGAAGACGTTTTATGTTTTTCATAATGTCCTTTCATCGTTATTCTTTCATCAGTTGGTTCTAAAAACAAAAAACAAAAAGGAAAAAAAAAAATCAAAAAAAAAAAATCATTTCATTTTAGGAAGAAGTCACTTATTTTAAACTTCAACTAAGTTAGCAGCTAATTGTAAAACAGACGAATATTTTTTTGTATTAAAAGACAAAGATTTGTAGTGGCAACATCAATGCTATTATTTCTAATTTAAATTTATGTTTATGAATTTAAAAAAAAAAATGTGGATTTAAATTAACATATTAACATATAATGCTATTCTAATTATCATTCAGAGAGATCAAAAGAAAATAATTTTTATAATTTAATAATTTCATAAATTGTCATGAATCTGTGATCTGAAAAGATTTAATGTTATAAAAAAATTTTGGGTCATTCTAGTATCATCAAATGATAATAACAAGCATACTTGCATTACTGGATAAACCAGGTCCAATACATACGAATAAAATTTTTCCTTTTGGAAATAACTGAGTACTGTTTGATCCACTATCATTTTTTGAAAATTTAATAATTCGAGAACCACCACCAAATTGAGTTTTCTTCAAGATAATTTGATGAGAAGTATTGAAATTTAATGGTAAAATTCGTCCATCAGCTCTATCATAATATCGTTTGCTGCAGCAATTGATTGATTTATTGATATTTGTTTAAAGTTTATTTAATTTATTTCATTTCATTTTAGGAAGAAGTCACTTATTTTAAACTTCAACTAAGTTAGCAGCTAATTGTAAAACAGACGAATATTTTTTTGTATTAAAAGACAAAGATTTGTAGTGGCAACATCAATGCTATTATTTCTAATTTAAATTTATGTTTATGAATTTAAAAAAAAAATGTGGATTTTGTGAATTTAAAAAAAAAAAAAACTTTAGGAAGAAGTCACTTATTTTAGGAAGAAGTCACTTCGTCAATAGCATTGATGTTGCCACTACAAATCTTTGTCTTTTAATACAAAAAAATATTCGTCTGTTTTACAATTAGCTGCTAACTTAGTTGAAGTTTAAAATAAGTGAATAAAATTAAAATTTTGCCAAAAATTAAAAGTTGCCGAAGTTTAAAACTATAACGAATTATCCATTTGTCAATTCTTTTAATTGATTAAGAGCTAGTTAATTCTTTTAATAATTGATCAAATTTATAAAATTTACTTGATTGCATTTATTAATTCCGTTTTTAGCGGTGTCTCCAAAAGTGATGTATATGAATTATGAACATTGAGAATAATAAAATTATCCTGATATGGACTTAATCCAATATTAGCGATATCATTAAAATTAATTTGCCGTTTCAAAACCTGAAAGAAATGAAATAAATAATAAAAATTGATAGTAATTATGAATTTATTACATTAGTGAAAATAATATCATCTAAAGAAGTGAACAATAATAAATTTACCTCAATAATTTTTCCTTTATTTAATCCTTTTTTTTCCACTTCTCTCCCAATGAGAGCAATTTTATTTGTTGTTATGAGAAAATCAATTTTTGAGACCTAAAAATTTTTGAGATCTGACAAATATCAATCAAATATTATTATATCATGCATGCACAAAACGACTGTTTTCTCTCATAGAGAATTAAAATCGTTGGTAAATTTCAAACATCAAAATAAATAACTACTTACCATATAATTATTATTCACTACGAATGAAATTTCGATCTGAGCAAGTTTAAATCATAATTTTCCTAAATCATTTAATGAATCAAAAGAATGCAATAAATCAAATTCGAGATGTAAAATTAGAAATTGAAAAAATCTAAGTTAACCTTAAATCTTCGATCATATTTATTAATGGTAGCAGCAAAAATAATACGTTCCTTCTTTCCGACCAATGCTTGTAATACCGGATGATATTCGATACCAATGTAATCACCGATAAAATTACGATTTATTGAATAACGTCGTCTTTCTTTTTTATTCAAGAATAATTTACATGCATCTTCCTGCAAAATACAATTTCTTTTCCCTTCAATAATGATATGATAATATTACAAGTAATTATGTTACGATAACATAAATCGGATCCTATTTAAACTATTTATTAAATCATTCAGATTGAAATTTAAAACCTTCTTTTTGGTATATCATTTCTATCAATCAATCTGACACTAATATACTTACATCGTCAAATGTACAAATTAAAGAAAAGAAAATGCATTTCTGGTATTTTCATTAATCATATTAGTTGCGAAATTCTCACAGTATCAATGTGACTAATGAAACTGATATTTTGCAATGCAAATGATAAAATGCAGTTTCGAATTAAGCATTTAATAAGTTATTGAAATAGTATCCTATGTGTTAATTATATGGTTTGCTTAAGAAAGTAGTAAAGACATTTTATCATTTCATTTAACTGATTGATACTTTTCCTAATCATTGTAATAATAATGCGTTTTTAATAACAATAATAATAATAATAATTAATAATAGTAATGCGAAGAAAAATGCTACGCAAACCTTTAATTTTGTGTGTCGTTTACAAGCAGTGAATTTCTTGAATGCTTTTTGAATTACACGTGCATAACTATCATATTTCCTTTCACGCATTTCTTCCAAAAGGAAAAGCTATAATTGACAGATAAAAAGTACCAAGTAGGAAAGCATGTAATTATGAAACTATAAGTAAATCTAAAGTAAGTCACAATATAAAATTTAAAAGAAATAAACTTGGTTAGTCAATTAAATGAATAAATAAATGATTGAATAGTTAAGTAAAAAATAAATAAATAAATAGATAAATAAATAATGTTCTAAAAACAACATACCGATTTAATAACAAATTAAATTAATAACTCGATATGTGTATAATATACAAATCGAACGAATAGATCAAATAAATAAATTAATTAATTTAATTAACTATTAAAATAAATAAGTAGAGAAACAAACAGGAAAATAAATAAACAAATTAGTTAATCAATTAAATGAATAAATAGATAATTAAATAGTTAAGTAAATAAATGAAATAAAGAAATAAATAGAAAAATAAATAGTGTTCTAAAAACAACAACAACATACCGATTCCGGATTTTTAATGAAAATTTTTGATTTACCCATTTGATACTGGTCACGATCCATATTTACCGTTTGACAAATGATCTAAAAATGAAATGTTAAAATGTTTTGTTATACTTATTACCGTTACAGAACTTTTTAGAGCGGAGAAAGATAGTGAAATAAGAAAAGATGTGAAATCTTCCTCATACAAAGGAAAATTTTATGTGATAATAACAGTTAACAACAGATGACAATATCATATTAAATATGATTAGCACATATCATTGACAATAAATTCGAATCAAGTTTTGGTTAAAGTTAAACTTGGGAATAACTTCAATTAAAACAAATAGCAATCAGTAATTATTGTTTAGAAATTAATTAGAAATAAATTTTCTGAGCTTTTATTGAAATGAAAAGGTAAATGGAAACATCCATGAACAACAAATGAGAAAGCAAATATTTGATATAATAATAACTAATAAATATTAATAATTAATAATAAAAAAAATAAATAAATGTTCTACTTGATTCATATTTATTATAAAACAATAAATATAACAATTAAATACAAATTTAAACCTCAACTCCTTCCCGAGGATTACCATGATAACTGGGCCATGTTTTTGGAGTAAGAATAGCATAACGATAAAGGAATTTATGAAAAAGACGACGATAAGCAAAACCTGCACGTCGAACTCTGATATTTTCCTTTAAACCCAAATATTCAACTTGATGCAGAACACTAAAAAAAAATTAAGCGAATTTAACTTTTAACTTAAATTTAATTTTAACCATTAAAGCTAATCATAAGAAAGTAATGATATGATGAAAATTTTCAAAAGTTATATCTTAATTTTTCATTTAATCTGTTAAAACGAACGATTTATATAATATCAACAATCATTGTATCTTATCATTTGTTCCTAATAATAATTAAAATAATTGAAAAGTGTAATGAATTAGAATCACTAACCGTTTTTCATCCCACTCCAATGATCGCTTAGTATCATTTGGCTTAATACAACGTACATAATGAGGAGCGCATTTGCTAAGTGAATCAACAAGATCGTTTGCTTGATTCTAAAATAAAGTAACTTTTTTTTTAAAAAAAAAGTTTGATGAAGTAAAAGAAAGGAGAAAAAAGTATGAAAGTATAATTTAAAAATTATATGCTTGATTTAATTTCAAAATAATTTTAATTATTCGCAATATTATTTTAATTCAATTCTTTTCATTGCAAACATTTTCCTTTGTATATTATATTAATTTTATACAAAGTATTGTGTTTTTCTATTTTTCATTTATCTTTATTCCGCTTTATTATTTTTCATGCTATATACTTTTTTTAATTTAAAATTAAAAGAATGAAATAAATAGAAATTAAGTATAAATTAATAAAATTAACCCTAATTTTTGATGAAAAACTTGTTGGCTTCTTACCACTAGACGATACTATTTCGGGAAAAAGTTGCTTGAAAAATTGCCTGTAACACTGATATTATTGATTTATTAAATTAATATTTTCATATTTCACCCAGTGGATATTTCCAGCTGTTGTTAATGATAATTTTAATTAAAATGAAAAATAAAATGATCTTACCGATTACTTTGTTGCATTAGCGTAATAAGATCTTTATAAAGTGTATCGCGATTTTTCTCACAAAAACCATCAATATTGTATAAAACCTGAATTTCAAAAAGTTTAGAAAATTTTTTTATTCGCTTGTTAATTTATTATGAGAGCTGTTATGGTAATCATTAAATAATACGAAGTTATTAATTTATTGATATTACATGGAATTTTTCTTTTCATTTTTTGAAATTTACCATTTTTAAACTCTTGTTATAGCACAAAATAAAGAATACAAAAATACATATTTGTTGAAATTTCAAAATAAACTTATAATGGAATTGCTATTTGTCACTCAATTAATGTATCGCCATGCTAAATTAAATAAAAATGACAAAATAGTGTAAATAAAAAATGAGGTTACTAATTTATTAAATTTACTCTTAAAAAATTCAGAAAACAAAACAGAAAAATAATTCTGCAATTAAATTATAAAACAAACAGTTCCAGCATAATGTTTAATAATGAAACATTGTGCGCCACTTTGATAGTGCTCATTTTGCGACATATATTTATTTAATTCAATCAAAAATTGACCATCAGCACCTTCATTTTGTGCATGAATTTGTGAGCATATGTCATCCAAAATACACATTATTCCTAAAGTTAGCAATATAATAAATATAGGAAAATTTACATAATAATGTATAAAAAGTATTACTATCGCAGTATCAATTTTTTTTTTTTTTTAAAGAAAGGAAAAAGATTTACGGAAGCAAATTAAAAAGTGATAATCAATAATTTACATTTCTATATCCAAGATATCATGGTTTCTAATTATAATAAAACTATTTTCATTGTTACCACAGTAAAAAAAAAAAAATACAACTTCAATTTAAGTTTTTTCATTTAATGTTTTTCTTACAGAAGGCTAATTTATAGAAAGAAATTAACAAAAATACCTGGTGGTTTTCGTGATTCAAATAAGTCACAAACAATTTTATTGTTGAAATATTCAATTGGTGTCCATAAAATTCCTTCGCTAATATATTCTTCTTGTTCCGCTTTCAATGTTAATTCAATAAATATTTGTTGCAATTTCTCATTTACAAAATTTATGCTAAAAAGAAAACTTTTTTTTGTTTGTGTTAAATTAGGGGAAATAAATAGGAAGGAATATTATTTATGATAAAACAAATATGAAATATATGAATTAAAATAGAAAAATTTGCTTTTTTACTTTGCTGCTGTATCTAATCTAAACAATTTTCCTATTTTCTTTTTCTCTTTTGTTGTTAAATTTTAATAAATATATATTGATATGTGATAAATGTAAAAATTTTGTGTAATTTTTAACGTTACAAATATTCGAATGCATCAAATATATTTAAGAAACGAAAGTAACTGACTGAATTAAATGTTATCTTATCTTTAATTTATTAAAATTTACTTATTATTTAAATAATATTACCAATAATACTTGTCATCTTTCTGGGCATAAAAAATAATCAATGAGAAATTATTATACAAAATGAAATTAATTAGTAACATTGAGTATAAGATTAAATAATGAAATTTATGAAATTTTTATTTATTTTTTAAATTGAAAGTTTCGCGACAGAAATCATCATCATCATTGTAGCTAATTAATTTAAAAAAAAAGAAATCAACATTCATTTCATGCATCAATTTACCAAAATTGTTCGAAACCATTATTATCAAATATTTCAAAACCATATATATCAAGAATACCAATTGATAACGGTTTTCCGGATAATCGTGAAGAAATCTTCATTCCTTCATTAACAGATGCAACTAAAAATATGAAAAAAAAAATGAGGAATCATAACAATAAATTTTTAATAATCATAACAATAAAAAAAAATTTTTGAATAATAGAAAATTTAAAAAAATGAAAAAATTAAAAAATATTTTCGTATAATAGAAAAGTATAGTAGAAATTTTCCATTTTTTTCTTCAATTTTCACAAACTTTTTTTAGTTTTTACAAGAATTTATAAAAAAAAAAAAAAAAATGCCTTACTTAAAAATTGAAATAGACGTATGTATAAATCTTTTGACCATGCATCACGTGTAAATTCCGCTTGTTCAACATTTAATGATACATTAATTTGCTCTCGTTGTTTACCCCATTTACTTTCCATTTGTCGACTTGTTAATTTTTCACGTATTGCTGATGATTTTAAGCCAAGTAAATAAGCTGGGAATTCTAGAACTAAAATATTAGTATTAACTAGAGAAAATATATGAAAAAATATTAAAAAAAAAAAACATACTTTCTTAGAATATTATGAAGACTAAATGAATGTTTCTTAGAATATGAATAATACTAATTTATTACTTATTTGAGGCCCATTAATGTAATATTTAATGATGATATAACTTATAATAAAAATATCGTCCAGCATATATCATTTAAATGAAAGGAAAAATGCTTAAAATATCAACAATACTTTATTACAATTTAAATACCATTTCAATATTTTCATTATTTTCAAAATATTTAAAAAAATTCCTTTTTTAATTTTATTTTAGAAATTTGCAATATTTTCAGCACACTAATTTTTTTTAAAAAAATAATATAAAATAAAATTTTGAATAATTATTGTAAATTTAACTTATATTTTTATAACATTTCTATATTAACACTTACAACGTTCATCAGCGATAGCTGCAAAATTATTACTTTCAACAAATGTGATATTACCAATATGCATAATGGCTGCAACAAGTTGTAAAATCTCCATTTGTTTTGTTGTTTCAATACCAATAATATCCATTGCATGCTAAAAATTAATAAAGATATTATTTGAAATATATGAATAAATTATGTTTTAAAAATAAAAATGAAAAACATTTCAATAAATGAAAATATTTGCTTTATTAGTAAAATAATACTCAAGCGTTTTGGGATCAAAAAAAAAAAATCTATTTAAAATTATTATCAATCACATTTGAATAATTTTGGAGGGGAAATTTAATTATGATGTATTTATTTTGCAAATAGAAAAAAAAAAATATTGCAAAAAGAAATAAATTAATTATGTATGAGAAGAAAGTAGTAAAAATAAGATGAATTAAATTTGTAATACTTTTTTTATTTGTTTGTTTATTTTTATAATAGTCTTTTATTTTTGAATATTTGATACAAATTTCATCTCTAGTAAATATTTTCACACTTACGAGAATTTGTTTAAATCCTTTAGCATCATCAGTTCCATCAGTTTTATAGCAACCACTGTGATTCAGATAACTGTAATAATCCAATGCTGTGATACCCAGATTATCTCAAAAAGAAAAAAAAATTAGCAAAATTGATAAAAATTCATATTGTATGCAGTTCTTCTCATATTTGCACTTATTAAGTAATAATTAATTACTGCACTGATATCGCATCAGTCTTTACAAGCATTTGTAGTATTAGTATCTCATCACATAACAAATTTATATTAAACTACAAAACGATACTACTTTAATTAATAGTTGGAAAAAAAAGCAACTTTTTAACTTTTCGTCTGCTCCAGCGCACAGTTGATAAAATATATGAAAATTACGCTCCCCCTGGTTCTGATGAACTACTCGAGATTTCTCGAGTAAAAAATTTGATACCTACAAGTTATATTATCAAAGTTACGACTATTTAAGGAAGATAATGGGAAACTTGTTGTAATGAATAAGTTAAACTTGTAGGAAGTATATAGCTCCAATAATACTACAATATTAAAAATACATTGTAAAGAACATACGAGTAATCGCGATATTTCTAATTAATTATATGTTTCATAAATACAGCGAACGAGAAAATGAAAAAAGGGAAAGAAATTGACCTTTCCGCCAATTGGTTCACCGCCTCGACTGAATACAATTTCAACATATTTACCAAAACGACTAGAATTCCAATTTCTAACAGTGGCGCTATTACCGAATGATTCCAACAATGGATTTGATTGCAAAATGACGTCTTTCACGTGCTAAAATTTGAAAAAAATTTTTCATTGAATGTAAAATTTAAAGTTACCAAACTAAAAATAAAAAATAACCTATAATTAATCTTTAATTAAAAAAAAATTTTTTTATAAACCAGAAGAAAAAAAAATCTTTTATTAAAGAAGTTCATGAAATATTCCACTGCTTTATTCTAACTTAAAAAAGACTACATCCTTAATTTAATCTTAAATTAAAAAAATTAAAGCAGTTTTTATATATTCATAAAACACTTTCTTTTTATACTTTTCAAATTCAAAACTTAAGCTTATTTCTTTCTTTTTTAACCGACAAATACGGTAGAATTTTTTAGTTCTGCTATTTTTAGTATCACACGTCTACAATAAACGATCGAATACAAAATTATGAGCTCATAAATGGAAAAATAAAAGAAAAAAATACAATTTATTGAAAATTTATAAACCACACAAAACAAGATTAATGCTTGCTAAAGTTTCAAATTTTCCCCCAAAAATTGAAGTTATCAGGGTGAAAAAAAACCTTTTTTGAAAACCTGAAGTCGCTGTCCACCACCGGATATTTGAGCAATATATCCCATAATATATTTAGCTTCAACCGTTTTTCCAGCACCACTTTCACCGCTTATTATGACACATTGACTTTCGTTATCTATTATCATATTCCTGAAATATATCCGTGAAATATCAAATTTATCAATAAATGTTCATTCTTATAAAATAACCCTATGTAATATCAATTATTAATACTTGATTACGTGCACAAAATTATCACACTAAATATCAATTTCATAGCAAACTTTGCTAAACTATAGAAATGACAGAAATATTAAATAAATGAATTGAAATTGAGAGAAAAATTAAAACTGATTTAAAAATAAGCAAAAAAAATTTTTTAATGTTATAAAGGTATCGCAACTAAGAAAAGAATGAAAAAAAGAAATTCGGAATTATGCAAATTTTATAAAATAAATATTAAAAATTTCATAACATTAAATTAAATATTGAAATTTTCACCTAAACATATTATCAGCAACGGCATAAATATGCGGTGGGTTTTCATATTGCGATGCTCCTTGATATAATTCTATTTCTTTATTTGTAAAATATGGCATATCTTTGAATGGATTAACTGCTATAAGTACTGGCCCAATGTATGTCTGAAAATTTCCTCTTTTTTTTTTAGAAGAAACTTTTTGCATTTAAAAGTTTGATATAATTTAATGACAACTTTATAAACATTTTCAGATGACACATGTGTGGAAAAAATATAATAAATTTAAATATTACATAATCAACTAAAATTTTTTAAAAGAAGCACATTTTTCTAGAAACTAAATTTAGACATATAATTAATTATATAAATAACAATTTATTAGCTATATTGATTATAAGTTAATTATCAATTTACAACGATAAGAAAAGAAAAGAGTGGAATAAATAAACTGATATAATTATTGCTAGTAGCGTAACTATAACACTTACAAAAATTGAATTAGCCATAAAGCGTTTTCGCATATTATCAACGATTGATTGTTCATTAAGTTTATTAAGTAATACCATATCATCCACGCCGACATGTTGAATATTTACTTTTGATTGCCAGTGAAATGCCTAAAAAAAGGAAAAAAATACTGCGTAATATATATTGAAATTAAGAATATAAATGAAATGTAAAAATAAATATAAATCTAAAAATATAAATATAGGAATATAAATATGAAAATAAATACAAGTACAAATATAGGTATAGATATAGGGATATAAATATACGATATAAATATAAATAAACAAATAAACATATTATGTATATAACATCGTACTAAATGTGGAAAGTTTTTATGGTTCACGTTTGTAAATCTAGTATTGTTTTCTACGGCACGTAAACAATAACTGATAAATACACGTGAGTGAAGGAATGGACAAGTTTTAGCATACATTACAGTTAAGAGAAATGGTTTAACATTTATTAGTATTCAGTGATTTCTTAGCTTATCACTAAATTAGTAGCATTAGTAAGAGCAATTAGTTTAAAAGAATTTTTCAAATTTTATACCTCTTAAAATTTATATTTCACGAATTATTTTCAACTTTGCAACAGAATTCAGAAATAGTTGTATAGCAAATCTAAGAGTTACTGCCGAATTTAAATCAGTTAATCAAAATGCTTGAACAATCTGACATACATTACCTAAATTATCCATAGAAAAATTATACCCATTGAAAACATTTTTTTTTTTTTGTATTTAATAATACTTTCCTTATGCTTAATTTTATCAAATGGGAAGAATTTTTAAGAAAACTTTTCTTGACAATCTATTAAATTATTTATTTATAAAATTCAATACAAATTGATTTCTCACAATGTAAATAATAACATATATCATTCATTGTCGATTATGAATGATAAAATTTGTTACTCATTTTAACAACAACAACTGGTATTCTAAATGTTTGCAACTCCAATAAGCTAATTATAATTTATTAAGAAAATTTTCCGCAACAATAAGACGATCTATATCAAATGTAAAAAGAAGTAAGATAAATTACTGGTATTTCATTTCTTTTTTACACATTAACGATATTTGAGATACTATTACTAGTTAATGAAAGCTTATCAATACCAAACTTATCACCACATATTGGTTAAAGTTTTCAGTGCATATTAACCGAAATTTAAAAATTTTTAAGGTTTAAAAACAAAAAAATATATATTAATATATGTAAGGTCCATATATAAAATTAGGATGAAAAAACTTTAGAAAATATATATAATAACTTAAATTAAATATGTGACACAAATTTTCGAAGGAAAAAAACAAATAAATTATTCAAATTAGCTGAAATGTAAATGAAAAATAGAAAAAAAATTTGAATAAAAAATCCCGATCAAAATAGCTTTAATAATAACATTCCTTCGAGTGATTTTGGAAATATTTTTAAATAAAACAAAATTTTAATAAAAACATTTGCTAATTAAGTGTCTTGACACATTGTAACATTATAAAGATATTTGATGTGCTAATTTTTATAAAATTTTTTTTGCCTTTTTACCTTAACTCTTACAAAATTAAAATAAAGATAAAAAATTTAAATGACAGTAGCATTAATAACTATAATTAATGAATCATTTGCAAATTTTGTTTTTGAAAGAAATTAGAATTGAATTCCTCTGGAAATTTTCAATCAATATTGAAATAACACTAAAGAGAGAGCAAGCAATCAGATAGAATGAGAAATTTTTTTTCAAATTAAAAAATGCTTGAAAATTTAAACTTACCATTACTACATCGTTCATCAGATTAAAGTTTACTCCACCGAATAGACATTAATTTTTCAAAATAAAATTGCTGAAATGAAAAAAGGAAAGTGCAAAAAAAAAGTAGGACTTTTGGAATTTGTTTATGACGAAAATACAAAACCTAATGCTATTAATTAATACTCGAAAAATAAAAATAACAGGAATAATAATTGTCCGACTGTTCAGCAAATTTTTTCTTCCAATAGTTTCTCTCTCTCTCGCTCTCTTTCCCATATGAGCAAATTTAACAGGTTTATAAAAACAGGACATGTAATGAGTACTGGTCAAATATTTCACTTTCAGTCATTAGGTATGATTCTGACCATATGCCTTAGTTAATTAAGTCCAAGTCATCGAATATTTTGCATATTGTAAGAAAATAGATTAGAACCAGTGATAAGCAAGTGATGCACAATTAATCCACCATAAAAAGTAACCTTTTGACCCCTCCCTCTCTCCTATATGGTTGAAATGACCAAACACTCCCTTTATTCATGCTTTTTGACCATATTCTCTCATTCTGACCAGCCTCTTTTCCACTATTTTAAATGTGAACAATTATGAGGAAGAAGAAGGCTAACGATGACCTCAATCGATGATGACAATGACATATAAAGTTTCCTAATGACACCATGCCAGCAAAGTTAATTGAATGAATTCCATAATATATGATGAGATTTGTCATATTTCAATCAATTTTAATTGAAACTTTTCCGATTTCCTTTCATGATCTTTTCAAAATTTTCAATTGGTTGTAATTGTCATACGTAAAATGAAATACAAAATAAATAATTATATTTCAGTCAATGATAAAAAATCATATCAAATAAGAATTTGAAAATTTAGATATGAGAGGATTAGTGCAAAGAAATGACTAAATTATTTTGTGATAACATACAATCAATATGATATAAAAAAACTTATTAAGGGTTAAAGGTAAGCAATTTATCACAAAATTATTATTGCTAGATACTTTTGTGTCAATTAATATTTCTGACAAAGAGTAAGTTCCTGATAAATATATGACTATCCATTAAACAAAAAAAAGAAACCTTTCAATTTACTTTCTCAGAAAATCAGTCCAGAATTCCTACAATTTTAAAAATGGTATCATTTTTTTAAATAATCTAACTGAAAATTTTTAATATAAAATCATATATCCTAAATAAATCTAACAGTAAAATATTTTATTGCCATATATTTTTTACAGACAATGTTTAAACTGAAATGTCTTCCAGTTATACAATTTAAATTATCTATCAATTAAATGCATCATTATCCCAACAATTACAAATTAATTGATCTATTTTTAAGTTACATAAAACGAAACGAACAAAAAAATGCTGGAAGGATTAAGAAAAATGAAGAAAAAAATATGAAAGAGAAGATGATACAAAACAGGTTTTACCAATAAATGAACTGGACAGAGAAGAAAAAAAAACACCAGCAAAAAATTTCATTTAAATTAAACCTGAAAAATTTTAACGAATGAATTGAAGAAAGTGAAGAAGGAAATAAGAAATAAAAATGAAAGTAAATGAATGATTTATTATTTCAGATGATTTCTATTTAGTAATATTAATCGGAATTAATGATAACAGAGAGTATATTTTATTGATTGCTATAAGTAAGAACTTTTATTCTTATTTGAATATTATTATTATAGTTATTAGTTTGAATCATAAGTCTGATATAATTAAGTTTGATAAAATTGATTAATTAGTATTTGGCATCTTTGCTGCAACTGCATTGTTTGTTGCAACCATATGGTTGCTAGGATTATACATGAAGTAAATTTTATATTGATGATAAAAACGTGCTTGACATGTAGTTTCATACGTTGAATACGTTTAATGCAAGATAATACATTATTTTAACATCAAAATTTCTTCGTTCAATTCTTATCCACTGATTAAAGAATAAATTTTAAATTTCCTCAAATAGATTATACAGTTTTTCAAATTATACAGTTTTGATGATTCATAGCTGTATATAAACTAGGACAACTGCATAAATGGATACGACATCGTGAAATAAACGAAATTTGGAATTAATTATTGAATATATTACATTTAAATACAGCAAAACTTGATGCTTTCATTGTCACGAAATTCAAAAATCAAATCCAAATTTAAGGAAAGCTTAAAATTTAATTCAAAGAACTGCAGCATTTTGAGGAAAAGAGAGAAAAATGAAGCGACACAAAACGGCAAATGACTAATAGTGGTAGTGATGACGCGTGATCGTAACATGGCGGTGGCAATATGACAGGGAAGGAAGGGTAAAAGCTATCTCAAAGCAATGTGGAAGCATGGATGACTCATCCCATAAGATTTCGATTTAAATATCAATGGTGAATAATAACTGCATTGATTGGAATAATTCCTGATTAAATCACAGATCACAAAATTTATTAATTGATTGGTTGATGCCTATTGATTAAAAAAGGGATAAGCAACGATTTCTCAAATTTTATGCTAGTTCAATCAAAAATTAACATTTATTATAAACAACAATTAGCATTACAAGTGTGACGCTTTAATATGTATAAGAAATTCAAAATGCTATTGATTGATTTCGAATATGAAAATGATGAAAGGAAGAGCGTAGAGTGCAAAAGAGAGATGATATTATTGATTTTGGAAAAGTGAGAGAATTTCAAAATTTCCTGATTTCAAATGAAAGTTTTTTAAAGACCCCAGCAATATGGATGATATCACGAATATTTAATAAGAAATAACTAAGATATTCAAATATAACTAAGAAATACGAATCCTATTTCATTATGCATATTATTTCGTTCCATTATTTACTGAAATGAGTTAAAGAATTTTTTCTTTTTTTTTTTGTAAATTTGCTTTAAAATTTGAACAATTTTAGGCGATGACATGATAAATAAAAAAAATAAATAAACAAAAATAAATTTACTTAGATGTCATTAGCCTAATTATGTATTACTGTTAATTTGTTAATACAATTAATGATATGTTTTTAAAATTGTCATTCTTTAGTCTAAAATTTCTAACCTGCTACAAATAAACAAATGAAATAAAATTCTTGCTGTATCCATCACTTAAATTATTATCCAACTGAGGTTTTGTTTTTAGTGAAAAAAAATAATTATTTAGTTAGTTTTTTTATTAGAAAGGCTCAAACCACTGCTTTCTTTGCAAAAAAAAAAAAAAAAAAAAAAAAAAACATCTGATCGTTTTTTGGAAAAAAAAGTGGTTTTTTCCCTCAAATGAATTATTTAAACGATTTT